AGGTTTTCACTGGCCAATTTTTTTAAAGAAATAGATCACCAGGTCCTTCTTCCTAAACTCTTAGTCTGGAAGCTCCACTGAAACCTGTCCACCATGGGTAACCCTGCTGGTATTTTAAATACTGGTAGCATAGCTTCCAGCATCATAGCAACATTCAAGCCACCACAGTATGACAAGCTGGCAGATGAGTGTGGATGCATCTTTTAGGATGCTCATTATCTTCAAAGTCTGGAGGACTTTTTTGCCTTTTAAAATTTTCCCCATGTCTGACCTAGGAGTACTCTTTCATGATATTTGTCATACCAAATTCCAATATTCCTATAGTATTGACTTTTATCCTTCCTTTTAAAAAAATTTGGGGTACTTTCTAATTTGCTTTAAACAAACACTGCAAAGTTTTTATTCTTCATTCAGTTAGCAAATACACTCTGAGCACCAACTATGTACCAAGCAATGTACTAAAGGGGATACAACATAAGAAACTGATCACACAATTCATTATGTAATTATAATTTTGAAAAGTGCCTTAAGGACATACAGACTGTCATGAGCATACAATATGGGATTTGGTCTAGTTTGGGAGGGCTCTGGAAGGCTTCTTGTTCGCTGCCCTTGAGTCTGTCTCCAACTCATGGCAATCCCATGTAAGACTGTATTAGTCTGGAAGCTCCACTGAAACCTGTTCAGTGTCACAGCAACTCACAAGTCTCCACTGACAGGCAGGTAGTAGCTCTGGTTGAGGTGCACTGGCTTGGAATTAAACCCTGGTGTCCCACATGAAAGGCGAAAATTCTACCACTGGCCCACAACTGCCCTTACGTACTTGAGAATAAAACATTCAAAGACTCGAATGCAGAGTAGAAATTAATTGGAAGAAGAAAAACAGTATCATACAAAGAGAACAGCTTACGTAAAAGCCTGGAGTGATATTAACGTATATATGGCATTCGAGAACCTGAGGGAAGCCCCCTACGCACGGGCTAAAAGAAGAGGGAGATAATTGGGTAAGCCAAGACTGGTGAAGTAAGCAGGGACAGAAGAGGCAAGGCCTTAGTATTACGTTATGTAGTTTAAATTTCTTTCTGTGAACAATGGGAAACTGGAATTACAGCACGAGAGCAATAATCTGATTTGACAATCTGATTTATACTTTAAAAAGTTCACTTGGCTATGGCATGGAAAATGGGTATGCTGGGCAGGGCCACAACAGATGCCAAAACCAGCTGCAGTAACCCAGGTGAGAAATGATGGAAGCTGAGACAATGTGGCAACAGAGATAACAAGAATTGGACAAATATGTAAAAGGTAAAATGGATGCAGCACAATGACGGGGCGGGAATGATGGTCCTGGTGAACTGGGTGGATGTGATGGTGCAATTTTTTTCACTAGACACAACTGATAGAGGTATAGTCTGGGAGGGGATGGGGAGATCATGAATTCAGTATGGGAGTCTAGGGTTTTTCACTCGAAGAGAACTTCTTCAGCTACAGCGTGTGAAATTTCACGCGAATGCTCAACTAGCATTGGGTAGGAATACCATGAAGCACACCCCCCGCCCTCCGGCCCCCACAGGGCTTCCAAATGTTCTTTTCTGGCTTGTGTCACATTGATCCACTTCCACCTGCGTCTTGTCTCTTCCTGGAATGCCTTCAAATTCCTTCCTCCCGCCAATTTCACTAGCAGAATTTTTCTTTTCGTTTTTCGAAGTCGAGTTCAAAGGTCGCTTTCTTAGGAAAGCCTTTCCAGGAATCTCTCACCCC